ATAGAACCAGTTTTTAACCATAATCAATTTGTCTGGATGTGATCATTTATTAAGTGTTTTCTTGTCTGGAGGGATACTGCTTTTTAGTAGTTTAATTAAAAAAGGGAATTATGTGGGATTACTAGTTAACACGCAACATAGTCCATACCCCATGTAGTTTTCTAAAGACTAAAACAAGGTTAGTCTATTTCAAATAATATCCTCGTAGACGTAGGCCTACTGCATGGCTACTGTGTACTGCATTAATTCCTTTATTACAAATGAAATGTTAGTTGTATGATGTGGGTTGGGTGTCCGCACACCAGCAACGCATTGTGCCAGGGGTCAATGCTAATGCGTATTGATGGCAATGATCTCATTTTCTACCTTCTTTATTACCTTAAAACCTTATTACCGGATGTACTGGATAAATTGCAGAGATTTGCAGTTGAGTTTCCAGGTCTATCTTTCTTCCAAGGTCCATCTTCCTTCTCGAGGTGTGACAGTGAGTGTCAGCTAGTGCAGTGTACACATTGCCTCAGGCTCAAGTTCGATGTTATTTTAATTTTTGTCTTCCTTTTTTCTACTGTAAATAGTGTGATGTTTCAAAAAATTCTTGCACTTAAAGGGATCCGGTAACTTCGTCTCAGATTCTGAAACAAAATTCTGGATTTAGCTCAGATGCAATGATAATTATAAACCTTTAGGTCAGTCAGGAACCCCATGACTTTAACAAGCCGATCGCCTGTCTGATTATCAAGATATTTATGATTGGAATTACAAAATTTGAAAACCGTTCGCCTGACGGTTTTCATAACACTACAGTCTATTGGGGAAAACGAGTATGGTAAAACCGGTCACTCAAAGATTTTTTACTTTTTTGAGGCACTTCTTGATCATTTTGAAGCGCAATTTTTGTAGGGCTTCAATATTACACCATATCACAGACACCTATAACATGTAGGGCCGTGTATCTCAGATTTAACATTGTTAAACGATCCCTTTAATGTAAAGATCAGTTATTTTCCCCCCTTTTCGCTTTTGTATAAAAAAGGTGGTTTCGATATTTAATAAGGAAGGGGCGCTAGTGTAGTTCCGTATCCATTTTTTTGGCAGTACTATTCTTAGCAAAAGAATTTTAGCCCAATTTTTTACTTATTTAAATCATAATCATATATTGCATTTTCCACCTGAATTTGGATCACATCCGACATCGGGAAACCTCCGTTTAGGGCTTCGATGTCGACGTCTTCACTCAGTACCGTCTCTACGCTATAGCTCCGCACCTCAAACTGAAGCTATCAGTCCAAAATTATGCAAACTTCTCGTATGGTTTATGGTATTACGCGCATGCACGATACCATAAACAATACAAGAAGTTTGCATAATTTTGGACTGATAGCTTCAGTTTGAGTTGCAAAGCTATAGCTTAGAGACGGTACTGAGCGACGATGTTGACATCAAAGCCTTAAACAGAGGCTTCCCGATTTCGGATGTGATCCAAATTCAGGTGGAAATTGTGATATATGATTATGATTAAAATTAGTAAAAAATTGGGCTAAATTTTCTTTGCTAAGAATGGATATGGAACTGCTAAAAAAATGGATACGGAACTACACTAGCGCCGAGTAAGGTACCTGTTACGGCAACACCTCGAGCATTTAAACTCCCAGGAGCTCCGGTGTCGGAGCTCCAGAGCCCGTTTCTGAAAACGATTCAAACACCGGGTTGGGTCACATTTTTTCGCAATGTAAAGAGGTAGTAATTACAATTTTGACTTACAATGTTTTTCGACTCCTCTGGGCATCTTTCCAACCAATTGAAAATTATAATTCAAGAGGTCTTCGATGCGAAAAAGGGTGATTCTTCGTCCTTACCCGACGATTCATTAACGTTGTATCGTCGATTCAACGGGGTCGGGCTAACTCGCCCCACGGGACATCTCGCCCCAGCCTTTTAAGCTGGGGCGAGATGTCCCGACATGATTAATCGATCGAGAGATACCAATGTGTATATGTTTGTGCTCATTGTGACTTAATAATGCCATTTCCAACCACAATCTGCAATGGAATTGTGTTATATGATACTATTAAAGACAATATATAACTTCTCTTAAGGTAAAATGACAAAAAAACGGCATTTCGGACCATTTACTCACAGCTCGCAAATCGCATTGCCGCACGTACATTAAATGTGCGTTGTATCGACTCGGACCACTGAAATTCGAGCAGTGTGTTTGTCAGTAAATCACTGCAAAAATATCATTTTCATAATGCATGAAGGTCTATTTTTGATTCCTGGTATACATTTCGTTATTGAGAAGTCGAATGTACTACATTTTAGACGAGATGGCTGAAGTTTGTTCACATGCTTTCGTCCTGGCCGTAAATTAGCAGACTACTGTTGTGCACCGCGCAGCAGCTCATCGCTCAGCTCAGTGTCAAGCTAGCAGTACAGCGCCGCCGCCAGGCGGGTCGGCGGGGGAATTCACTGACTCGGCATCCGTACCCGCTGCACTGCACTGCCCAATTTGATCGAGTGAGTAAACTAATCAAACTACAGTAGGTTCCTACATTCATCTAGATCTATATCTACTATATTATCATTATTCATTCATTCAGAGTAGAATATCCAATTTGATTGAGTGAGTAAACTAGACCACTATAGCTACATCATCTTTACTACTCATTCAGGGTAGAATCTCTGATTAACATGATGGTGATTAATGAATTGAAGGAATGGAATTTTTCTTTTTTCATAATCAGATATTCATATTTTACTCTTAAAAGTTAAAGACTTAATAAATAGCTATATCTTACGTTAGGGCCTAACACCATGGGCGTCAATCCTGGGGGGGGGGGGGGACGGGGGGACACGTCCCCCCCACGAATTTTCAGGTGGCGAAATGTCCCCCCCCCCCCCCCCCATGATTCGGGGTTAAAATCTTCTTTTTTTTTCTTTCTTCCTCTCTTTCTCTCTTGTGTTGAGAAAAATCAAGCCAAATCAGGCGATCAGATTTTATGAATAAAACTAGAAGCGTCATTAATATTACATTCACATTACCGGAAGTTCAAACATTGGTTTACGATGAAAATCCTTTCACCAACTGAAAAAATCAAATTAATCCCTTGTATCTTCCCAACTTTAAGGCTGATTGTTCAATGGAAACGACAAATTCAACTATCTACCCCCTCCCGTTGCGTTCTTGTTCCTGTTAGTTGAACTTAAGACTGTTTTCTTTTTAATTGGGCAAAAATTAAGCCTAAAATCAAGCCATCTATCCATCAATTTAAACAAAAATCTTCAACTTCTGAGGGGGCCACACCCCCTGCGTTTTACTGTTTTCTTTTTAATTTGGCAAAAAGTATGCACCAAATCGAGCCATCTATCCATTAATTTAAAAAAAATCTTCAACTTCTGAGGGGGCTCAGACACCCCTGCGTTCTTGTTCCTTGTTAGTTGAACTTAAGACTGTTTTCTTTTTAATTTGGCAAAAAGTATGGCCCAAATCAAGCCATCTATCCATCAATTTAAAAAAAAAAGATTCAACTTCTGAGGGGGGGCACATCCCCCCTCAAACACCCCTGCGTTCTACTGTTTTCTTTTTAATTTGGCAAAAAGTATGGCCAAATCAAGCCATCCATCAATTTAAAAAAAAAAGATTCAACTTCTGAGGGGGGCACATCCCCCCTCAGACACCCCCTGCGTTCTACTGTTTTCTTTTTAATTTGGTAAAATGTATGCCCAAAATCAAGCTATCTATCCATCAATTTAAAAAAAAATCTTCAACTTCTGAGGGGGCTCAGACACCCCTGCGTTCTTGTTTCTCGTTAGTTGAACTTAAGTCTGTTTTCTTTTTAATTTGGCAAAAAGTATGGCCCAAATCAAGCCATCTATCCATCAATTTAAAAAAAAAAGATTCAACTTCTGAGGGGGGCACATCCCCCCTCAGACACCCCTGCGTTCTACTGTTTTCTTTTTAATTTGACAAAAAGTATGCCCCAAATCAAGCCATCTATCCATCAATTTAAACAAAAATCTTCAACTTCTGAGGGGGCTCAGACACCCCTGCGTTCTTGTTTCTCGTTAGTTGAACTTAAGTCTTTTTTCTTTTTAATTTGGCAAAAAGTATGGCCCAAATCAAGCCATCTATCCATCAATTAAAAAAAAAAGATTCAACTCAGACACCCCCTGCGTTCTACTGTTTTCTTTTTAATTTGACAAAAAGTATGCCCCAAATCAAGCCATCTATCCGTCAATTTAAACAAAAATCTTCAACTTCTGAGGGGGGCACACCCCACCCCCCTTAGACACCCCCTGCGTTCTACTGTTTTTTTTCTAATGTGCAAAAAGAATACACCAAATTGAGCCATTTATGCATCAATTAAAAAAGTATCCAACTTCTGAGGGGGCACATCCCCTCAGACACCACCCCCCTGCGTGGCGAGCCCATTCGCCCCCCCCCCTTACAAATTAACCTGGTGCCGCCCTGTCTGAACTTGTGTCCCCCCCCCCCCCCCACGGTCTGATTTGGATTGACGCCCATGCCTAGCACACGGGTCTAGCATAGTATTCAAAGCAGAGAAGTGAGCTGACGAATCGCCTTTTTTTTTTTGGAGGGAGCTGCCTCACAAAAATTCTACAAAAAAAGAATTATTAAAGGCGTTGGTTTCAAGTTTTTGTATATTTACGCAGCCCCCACCCCCACCCCCCCCCCTCCTCTATACGCATCAAAATAAAAGGGGCACTTATCAGAGGTAGAAATGGGAAGGGGCACTTTAAAAAGTGAATAGGGGCACTTTTCCTATGTAATAGGGGCACTTGTCAAAGTAAAAGGGGCATTTTTCCTATGTAAAAAGGGGCACCGCCTCTGGCGAAGTCTAGTTGAGACCCTTGTATGTAGTGCAAGTTTGTATTCATGTATTCAAGATCTTCGGTCTTGTGGCGTAGTTACATGGGGCATGGATGTCAAAAAAAGGAAAAGAGAATATGGAAAAATAAAAACCTGAAGTTATTTTTTAAAGAGATAAATTGGTATTAAATAAATTGTATAGCACAGCAGAAAGGGACTGAGTACTCTGAGTGAGACCCATCCAATCTGTCTCGATACTCATTAATTACCAATTTTACCATGCATGCCTGTTATACTGTCTACGATCCGTGTTCAGTTCAAACCATTGTGACAAATTGGTATTGCCTATTGGCAGATTGGTCAAAATTCTCAGTGCCAGGGCTGCAAATAAGAGTCTCAAGCAAGGTTCAATTCAATTCAATTCAGTCTTTATTTCCAATCCATTCAAATAGTAACAAAACAAAGTAATAAAAGGAGATGAACAAAAAACTTAAAAGCTTAACGTAAGACATAAGAGAAACGTATATAAATATGGATTTGAAATACTGATAGTTACTACAAGAATATAAAGTAGAATAGGTATTCTATTTTATAAGATAAATGATTGGAAAAAGGTATTGAAAGCTCAATGTAAACTTGTAATATTGCACATACGAAGATATTGCAATAATAAATATTGTATTTAAAAAGTTAGAATAATTACAAATGTAGTACTATTGCTGATATTTATATATATTAAAGACTTTTTTAAAAAATGTTTAAAAAAAAAGTAAAATCATAATTGGAAAACATGATTTTCTATACCTGTATACATTTATTAAAATTAAAATAATCTTTAAAAAATGTTTCATATGGTTTTATACAAATATCATTAAACTGAATATTTAAATCACTCAATTTCAAACTATTTAATAATTTTGTGCCTCTGTGGCACAATAACTGTCTTGCTTCATTGTTCAAATAAATCCAATGATGAGACTTGTTAGAGGACCTAGTATTTTTAAATCTCAAATGGGCAACCCATGATAATTTCAAGGTTCAAAATTCAAAATATTGAATATTTGCTAATATTGCTAATATCTGCTAAAATAACTAGCATAATTAAATATTGTTAATTTATGACAATAGTTAAGTAATGTAATAGTAGTTAGATCAAGACAATGCCCAACTTTGATTTCTTACATACATGTACGAATCCACATACTCATAATTAACAGGTATATGTTCAACTTTTAATTATTGAAGAGTGTTACGCTTCAGTGACCATTTAGAATCAAAATGTCGCAGTGTTACGGTAAAAACTGATAAAAGAGAAAAGAACATGTTTTTATGATGCAAATCATGCTCGTCTCCCTCAGGCCTATCATAATCAAGTATCATAGCAAAAATAATCTTTTGTATTAATGAATAATATCAATTAAAAGTATGTCACAGAGTTACAGTGACTGTTTGGTATGCACTCTATGTACATGTATAATACAAGTGTGTGTAATACAGGTTTAATGCCAATCAACGTTTTTCTATGGTGCTTGCCCATATGTGCGAGCACAGACACTAAGAAGCTCAGGCGTGGTCATGTCTCCAGTCCTGTGGCACTCCCACGCTCTAAAAACGCGGGCTTGTAGTGTCCTTGTCATCTGCCGTTGCCTCCTGGTGATGAGGTGTCTATTCACCAGCCTGACGGTCATGTCCACCAGCTGGGCCTCTCTGAAGAGCAGTGCTGCCAGCTGGTACGGCCCCATGCTCTTCCCCCCAGCCCTAACTGTGAGGCGATGATTGTACCCTTCGGCACAGTTGTTTGTCCTGATTGACCTGCCGTAGACATTCCAAGCCCCAACAGGCCACGTACGCCCATTTATCCATGTAGTCTCTACATAGGCAAAGAGCTGGAAGATATAAAGTTAACAACAAATTAATAAATAAAACTGTTATTGATGAGTATAAAATGGTTTGCCTTCAAGTAATACAATAAAAAAAAAATCCAATGAAACATTCTATGACAATTGATAATTTGTAAAATTTGATTCCTCTAGTTCCTCTTTTGAAATAAAAGTATATTAATATCAAGGGCAAATTATATCAATAACTTCAAAATATGGTCATATACATGGGGTGCTATTAGTAGATACATTTGTTTTTGTCATCAAAATAATGAGGAAAATAATTTGAAAATATACATGTGCAGGTGAATTAATGCCTAATATTTGTTTCTCATTTTTAATTTATGTTCTCAGTGATTTCAATCTTTTCAGTTCTTATAGTGCATATTTTAGATAATAATTCAAGCAGCAATGAGTACCGTAAATTGTAAATATACCATGTGTAACAAATTTGTCCTTGTATCATGTACATACAAGCATATATTGTTATTCTACAGGTTATATCGGTATGCACATTTACCTCATCAAGTGGTGGCGTACTGCTCTGTTGCCGAAGCAGTTGGAATGCTGGCACCACTTCGTTTAGTGGCAGGAATGGCAGAGCCATGACCTTCTGGAGTAGCGTCCTTGTGGCATCATCCGTTGTGTACGCTGCTGTCAGACCAACAGCCTGTACTCTCCGAAAGACGGCTTGCTTCCAGTGAAAGTTACAGCCCACCAATCGTGCCTGAAATGAAAATTGTGAAGACAAGATTTAAAGTGAGAAGAGAAAATGTATAGTGTATTACTGTAATGGAAAACATTTACATTTTTCATCCTTCAGGGAAATATGAGTTTGAAACGAAATTTCAATCTTGATTGGAATTTGTCTGCAGTAAATGCATCAAAATTATTTAGAATTGGCAATAAGATGCACTTGAATCCTGACCCTGGCAAATTTAATTGACCCTAGCTGGCAATAAACAGACTTGTTCCTGATTAGAAGATGGGTGAATGTTCACCATATGTCAAATAAATGTATACAACACAGGTATTGTATGAACATGAAAGTGTCCTTGAACCATGGAGTAGTATATACATGTTTGTACAGAAATTTGTAATATTTTATGTACATTAATGACTCCTTATAGTACAATATTTTTTTAATTACCTGTGGGAATATCCGTGGAAGAACCTTCCAGAGAGCTGCCTCAAAATCTACCATGATTTCTTCCACAGCAGCTGGTCCTGGCAGTGCATCCCGTAGCTCTTGCATGGCCTCCCTGTATGCACCACTCCTCTTGCTCGACATCAGGATGTAAGCGAGGGCAACTTGCTTGATGGAAGCTCCAACTTCGTAGTAAGCGTGCACCACCAGCAATTGATAGAATGGGAGCCTGACCACTTTAAATGTACCATCTACAAACCAGGTCTGTGCCTGCCTCAGCAGCTGCAGCTGTTGAGGGGTAGCATAAATGAGACTCCTGTGGCCTCCACGGGTTACATCTGCAACCAGGAAATCTGTAAGTTGTGAAAAGAGCAAGAAAGAAGGGAATATAAATATTATTATTTAATAATATAGAACAAAAATATTTTCTTGTGAACGTATGATGGACCAACTGATATTAAAAAAAAAAAAAAAAATCAAAAAAAAAAGATCAGATATAATTGTGAATATGATCTAGCTTAGCACAGGTAGGTACTGACTCGTGCTCTTGCTTTATTTAACCTGATATGAACAATTTTGTTGCCCTTATTCTTATATTTTATAACCAATAAAATTCTATTGGATTTGTAATGAAATTCCATTGGATTTGTATGTTTAATAGTTATCACTATCGTTTATAAAAGTTCATTACTTCACACCATGAATTTTCATTTCCTTTTTGGCAAGCGTATCATTTTTATTATTTTTTTTTATTTCTTACCATCGGGCAGGAAGTTTTCGTTGAGGTCGAAATCCAGCGTTCTTGGCTCTTTCGGTCTGTCAGCTTCCCTGACCCGATTGGCCATCCTTTTCAGTGTCGCTGTCCGTGCAGGGTAGGTCAGACCACGCTGGAGCAGGACGCCCTCAGCTATCTCCATGCCTCCAGCCAGTGGCTGCCTCTTGGCCTGGATCTTGAGCTCTTTGTGCAGCAGCCTTCGATGTACCTCAGCATGTTTAGGAGGGTGGATGTGGCGATGGAGACCAGGCGTGTAGACCATCCCTTGCTGGATCACGGTCGAGGAGCACTTTACCTCACTGTTCCTGACAGAGCACCTATGATTTGAAAGAGACATAGTGAGAATTCGTTTTTATTTGCATTATGACTTAAGACATGTATTACATTTTTCCTCATTTCGTAAAGAAGTGAAACGCCCCTGGCGGTCTCGCCTGCATTACGAAGTAGCTTTCATGAAAAGCTGAAAGTTTGAACAAGATGATATTAAATCTGACAAAGTTTAAACAAAATTTGACAAAGTAAAGTTAAATAATAGTAACAGTTTTTTGTATAGTGTCCGTCAGATCTGACGCTCTACAAAGTTTGTCAAAAAAATAATTGTAATATATAATAAGCTTAGGAAGATGTTATGGATGGATTGAGTCCCCGAACATAATTTATTAAAACAACTCTGAGTCTCAAACAGTTGAAATAAAATAAAAATTTATAAAAATGAAAAACAGTGTATATTGTTCAAAGTTAATCTTTTCTCTGTGTTAAGATCGTTCCTCTAATTTTTTAGCTTTTTAGCTTTTTTAAAATCTTCAAATATCATTAAATATATCTGCGCATTTATGCATGCAAGAGATAATTTAAGAGAATTATGTTTGATTTTACATCTTTTATTCATTATGTCAGCGAGCATTATCGAGGAAGGAAGTTCCATCTGTAACATCTCTGTGATAAAATAGATCCATATTTATATTTGTATGTCTTACCTCCAGACTGTTCTGTTGGCATTCGTCCTCTTTTCCACATAGCTGTAGCCATGACTGTCAAGAAGCAACTTTTTCCTTCGTTGGGAGCAACCCTATACAACCTGGTAGATGGTGGCCTGGTCGATGATCGACGAATCTTCATCGGACGAGAGAGACTGCTCGACGATTGATGACTGATCTGCTGAGTCGTTGGTGAAGTTTGGTGGCGGCCCTTCATCGGACGAAAGAGACTGCTCGACGATCAATGAGTCGTTGGTGGGGTTTGGTGGCGGCCCTTCATCGGACGAGAGTGACTGCTCGACGATCAATGAGTCGTTGGTGGGGTTTGGTGGCGGCCCTTCATCGGACGAGAGTGACTGCTCGACGATCAATGAGTCGTTGGTGGGGTTTGGTGGCGGCCCTTCATCGGACGAGAGAGACTGCTCGACGATCAATGAGTCGTTCGTGAGGTTTAGTGGCTCTATGGAAGACAGACGACTGCTTTCCCCAATGGGCTGTTGGGATAAACACATAAAGAAAAGAAAACACATTGACAGTTATGTTCCTACATTTCTATAGTTTTAAGCAAAATAAGTTACATATGATTATTCACCTGTGATTTATGTCCTCTTTTGAAAAGGACCTGAAGCAGTTGGTCCTCTGGTTGCTTACTTTCTTTAGCAGTGAGGTAAATTAACAACCAATAAACAAAATTTGTAATTCTAACCTGTATATCATAAGTTGGTTGTAGCTTCCTGGTCAACAGAATGAGTGTGCATGGGCAATTTTTTGTTGTTGGATGTATTTCTATTAAAATATATACCGGTATATTATGTTTTAAAGATTAAAGATAGATAGTCATGTCACGCCCTAAAAGGGCTCATTTTTTTTACCGGTATGTGGCGTCCTGCAGCCATTTTAATTTTAATGTAGCTTTGAATTCTAAAACAAGTTTTTTGTTTTTGGATTAAACTAATCACTTTGATATGAATGTAGATATAGGTCTACATGTACATATGAAAATCAATTGACATATTAGTATTACCTCAAATTGGGAAACAATGGAAGCAACTTCGTCATCTCTGTTCATCGCCTGTAAACTGCAACCTGAGCAAGTCCAGTCAATACCTTCCTTCATCGCTCCCCTGTACTGCTGAAGTGTAATACCTGTTAAAGATATGACATCAAATTATAATTCATTCATTTACCATTTTCCTGTTGGATCTCTAATGTAATTTGAACTTTTTATGTTTACCAGATTCCATGATCCATCTGCGATCCGATTTGGCAGAAAAAAAATATAGTATTTGAAATGAACATTCAAACCTGGAAAATCTTGTTATCCAAACTTCTGAATAGTTGTATGAATATATACCCTATTCCAACTGGGGGGGGGGGGGGGGGTTCAATTTCAGACCCCCCCCCCCAGCATTAAATTTGGATTACTGCGCAACCGCCCCTTATCACGATACGCCGTTGCATGAGCTTTTTCTTTGAAGTCCCGCGCATTTCGTTATTGACCTCTTGGCAACAACAGAGGGAGATACAAATTTTTGGTATGGGGTCCTGAATTTTGTTCAAATGAACATATTGGAAGCATATGCGATCCTAAAAAATTCAGTGATCGTTGTCACCATTGAAATTGAGTCAAAAGTTATGGAATTGTAAATAGTACGCTTTTTATGTTGTATACCTGCCTCTCAAGGTCAAGATATTAATTAAGCTATAAAACAATGTTTCTTGACTAAAATCGACTGATTAGCTATTTCTGTTTGGAAATTGTGTATCACAACTACGTATTCTGAGATTTTCATGGTCGCAGCTACCATTGTACGGACGAATCATTATCAAAATTTACCAGGAGCACCGCTAAATTTTTATATTCAATTTTTCTCGAAAGCAAAAGTGTTTTAGGGGCTAAATTTTCTAGTGCTTATAATATATCCACAGGAGCATCCAAATATATCCAAATTGTAAGGAATCACTATCCACCAAATTTTCAACATTTTCAAAAACTTTGTATTACCTTTAAAATCAGATAACCAATAGGAAAGTATAAAGAACTATAGAATTCAGAAAATCACCACACAAATTTCCAATCAGTTTGTGACGTCATTGCCTCACTATTTATCAATTGATTTATATATTATGATCCCTTTAATTTCCCTTTCTATTCCCCAAAACTTGATTTTCACACCCCTTTGCCCAGGTTGTATCATATTGAATGTATATTGTGTGATTTCACAGAAAAAAATTTAACATTGAAGAATTGATTCAATTTTCTGAATCATTGATTTGTATATTAATAATTTATCAATATATACATTTTCATAAGAAAATTACTCTATATTAGTGCATCCAACAAAAAGGTATTACCGGGACTATCAATATAACTTGAATGCTGGTGTGAGAAAATCATATTTTTTAGGGGGGAAATTCTAAATTTAAATTAACGATATAAATGGATAGTGAGGCAATGGTGTCATGGACTCATGAGTGAGTTGCCATTTTGTCTTGTGACTTTTAAATTTTTTCATGTCATTATAAATTCAAAACTTTTTTACTAGTTATCCGATTTTGGTCAAACTTTTTTTTGATAAGTTTTTCTGAATTTTCTGCTTCTATTGAAAGTAATTCATTTTTGGATTGGACTTGCCCTCTAATTGTATTCTATTTTTCGAACATTGAAGAATTGATTCAATTTTCTGAGTATTGTTTATTCACAATCATGGATTTGTATATTAATCGTTTATCAATATTCACATTTTCATGAGAAAATTACTCTATATTAGTGCATCCAACAAAAACATATTACCGGTAATGTCAATATAACTTGAATGCTGGTGTGAGAAAATCAGATTTTTTAGGAGGGAAATTGTAAATTTATATTATCGATATAAATGGATGAATAGTGAGGCAATGAAGTCACAGACTCATGAGTGAGTTGCAAATTTGTCTTGTGACTTTCAAACTTTTTCATGTCATCACAAATTCATAACTTTATTATTAGTTATCCGATTTTGGTCAAACTTTTTTTTTGATAGGTTTTTCTGATTTGTATGCTTCTATTGAAAGTAATTCATTTTTGGAGTGGACTTGCCCTCTAAGTGTATTCTATTTTTTTAACATTGAAGAATCGATTCAATTTTCTGAGTATTGTTTATTCTCAATCATGGATTTGTATATTACCGGTAATCGTTTATCAATATTCACATTTTCATAAGAAAATTACTCCATATTAGTGCATCCAACAAAAACACTTGCCCTCTAATTGTATTCTAATGATTAAACTGAATTGTTTTGGACGGTGGACTTGGCCGTTCACAACAACAGAGGGAAATGTAACATTCCGTAATAATAAGACACTATTATTCATTGAATGAGGTCAATGTAAAGAATTTAATAATAATCAAAGACAAATGTTGGTCCTTTTTCTTCTTGAGGGGGGGGGGGGGGGGGGGGGGGGGTTACAGTTACAACATTAACAAGAAAAGGAATTGATTAAGCTTCAGCAATGGAGCCAGAATTAACAACTCTTAATTGAACTAACAATTTTATGTAAACAATTATTTTTGGTTTTCAAGTGATTTTTTTTCTATTTGCAATTAGGCCTACGAATTTGTATTGGAGGAATATCTATCTCACTTTTACCATTCACAAGTTAACTACTCAAACTGTGTTTGGACTGACCATAATAACTAGTTATAAAGTTCAAAGAGGATAGGAAAAAGAGTAACTTTTATGATCCTCATCCTCACCTGTGTTGCATAACCGATGTTGCCATCTGGAACAGCTGTCGCATTCCAGAGCCTGTTGTCTCGGGCGAACCTCCCGTCCACACTGTAAACATGGGAACTCCTCCTCCTTCTCTTCCTGGCGTCGACGCGTGCGGGTAGTCACGGACATGATGATAATCGGATAAATAGGATGTTGCTCACGAGAATTCAAGATGTAAATCTGTGAATTAGGTTCATTGCTCTGTCCTTTTATCATGACGATGCGACTCCTCATAATCGTTACAGGTTGGGTGATGAAACAAAAGGCCATGATCATCCTGCGTCCCATCTCTTTCTTTGATGTGGAACAATACCAAGGATATCCATTACAATACCCATTACGCCCTATGATGCCGATCTTTGAATCGACGGTGCGCTGAACGCATTCAACTCTCACTCGCGGCGTTTTCTTTGAGTGATTAGGTGTCGATTACATTGTCATTGTTGAACATCAGATAGACTAATCTGGATATTAGGTACGGGGATTTCAAAAGGCAAATAAACTGTCACTTTTGAAGGAATCTGTCATTCAATTATCAATTTGATTGGTGTATTGTCGTAGAGCAGTTCTTTCAAGCATTTACGATGAAAATTAGACCTAGAACATTAAAACATATTAGTAAATAGTGTGCTATGTGAGGAAAGTATACTTATTTTCCACTTATATTAATCATAACATTATTTCCACTTATATTTGGGAAATATATCACTCTGAAAGCATATTATCCAATTCAATCAAAAAAGTGGATTTTAAAAAGCTGATAATTAAATACTGTATACGCTTGACTTTCATAGACTCTAAGCGGACCAAGTTATTGGATGTAGATTTCAAGATTTTATTGTCTATGTATATATAATACAGAAATTTGTATTTGGTGTAACATATACTATGTAAAACATAAGTCAAAAACATGGTGTCACGTGTGCTGAAAGCCAGAAGGGCGTCAAGACTCTATAAGAAAAGGTCTATGATGAGCAGGTTCGGTCCTCCAGCTTTCAGCACATAACATAACAAGACAGTTATATGACTGATATATAGCAATAATTTTAAATACAATTCTGAATCACATCATGATTAAATTCAGGTATTAATATAAATGTGAACATGAAAGTAGTAGGAGCAGCATCACAATAGAAATACGAGCAGAAAGAGAAAGAAAAAGAAAGCTCAAGCTCGAAGGACTGATAAATGAGAGATAAATATAGGGAGAATTGTTAATGGTTCAAAGGGAAAGGGGAGAGATAGAGAAGGAGAGGTGGCATAATATCCAATCAGATTATAATGCATGACAAAAATACATCGCCATAATAATGTAGAAAAAAACCAGCAGCAGAGCTATACAACGGATGTTTTTGACCCACATAAGGTGATAAGGTGGAAAACTTTCTAACCCAATCCCGACACCCTTATTATACTGGGTGGGTAGAGAAAAGGTTAACAAATAATCACAATCGCTATTAGCGCTATTTCGCTAACAGCTGAGATGTTTTATATATTTGTATTTTTAGTAGGCCTATATCCGAGGACAACTAAGGGAGATGTAACATTCCATAAAGAAGACACCATTTTGCATTTGATGAGGTCAATTGAAAGATTTTAATAAGAGGCAAAGACAAATAATAGACAATTTCTGCTTTCTTTTTTTTCGGGGGGGGGGGGAGTGAATATGAATCTTATAATTAAAATGAGGCGACAAACTAAAACAAAAATCACTATAAACACAAAATATTAGATGAGAAATTGAAAAGGAAATAGGTTGAACATAAGTATTCTCATTGCAACTTGAAATCTTTATTCGTTTTATCTTTCTTTTGTTTTACCACTCATTGTCCCAATGTTTCTTAAATGCGTCTTTAAACATTAAACAGAGGGCTACACAAAATAATTTGTTTATGAGATAATGAAAAACTGAGTCTCAAATGTGAAAAGAAAACATACAATTTAAATGACAAAATCATCTCTGTTTGACCAGGGATCAGGTTCACTAGGCAAATTGTTGTCGTCAAGCAGTTCTTGAAAACAGAATCAAAGTAACAAATAATGTGTTTTTACGGGATGGTGAATTAATGCCAATTATATTTATGTAAAATAGAACTGTTTGAAATCATAATATTCGATTTACTAGTATTTTGTAAGTTAATAGTTCCAATAATATTAATAATATGAGAATTTATATAGCGCCAATATCCGCCAGGCTCTGACGCTCATGGCGCTGCATATTACTATCACAAAAATATAACTTTCTTAACTAAAATAAAACTAAAACAACAAAAATTACTACGCTACACTGATATGATTAAATAGCAATGACGTTAGCTACGGGAATACGTGACCCCAATCGCAAAAAAGCGAAATTAATGGGATTAAATTATATAAAACAATTCTAAATAGTGAGGACACGACGTCACAAACCGATAACCAAATTGGCAATTTGTGTCGTGATTTTCATTGTTCCATAGTTTTACATAATTTTTTCAAAAATTCATAACTTTCTTATCAGTAATCCGATTTTGCTCAAACTTTTTTTGATTGGTTGTACGATTTTCTGCTTCTATTGAAAGTATGTCATTGAGTGGACTTGTACTTTAAGAATTTGTATATCATGATACTGATGACTGTGATGTTAGGTTTTAAAAATGAATTTTACTGAATTAGCTAAATGATCCCATATCGCTCAGGTCTACCATTTACCTGCCACTTAATTTGGCACGACACATTGTAAATCAGCAATCTGGGTGACGAAACAATAGGCTATGATCATCATCATCTCTTTCATTGACGTTGAACAATACCCTATACCAATCGCGCCCTTTTGATGCGACCGGTCATTCGCGGCGCCTTCTATGAGTGATTGGGTGGCGATCACACTTTATCAGATGAGAGACAATAGACCAATCTGGACATTAGCTCCCGGATTCGAAAAGGCTAGTAGACTGTCAAATTTAAAGAAACCTGTCAGTCACTTGGCAAATTGATTGATGTATAATAGTAGCTGCCGTCGAGCAGTTCGTGAATACATCCACAATGCGATAAGCATAGAATATAAAATAATCAAAGTAACAAAAAGTGTTTTATTCAGAATGGTGAAACTATACTGTTTCAACAGTACTGTTGACTTAAAGTAGAAATTGTTTCCAGTCATTTGTGAATTAGAACTATCTGAATTCATAAAACTTACTTGTATAAGTTAATATTTCAATTAAGATCAGTGGCGTAGGCAGAGGCGGTTCTCCCGGGGGTGGGGGGGGGGGCAGGGGGGCACAGTGCCCCCCACTTTTTCAGATACCCCAAAAGTGCCCCTTTTTACATAGGCAAAGTGCCCCTTTTATTTTGTAAGAAGTGCCCCTTTAACATAGGAAAAGTGCCCCTTTTACTTTGACAAGTGCCCCTATTACTTAGTAAACGTGCCCCTTCCCCATTTTCACCTCTGACGAGTGCCCTTTTAATTTTTGAAACGTGCCCCTTTTCCTTTGACATGTTCCCATTTTCCTTTGCAATAAGTGTCCATTTTCAATTCTCATAAATCTTGAAATTATCTTGAATAAGTGCCATTTTTAATCTCTAGTAAGTGCCTCTTTTCAGGTAGGAGAAGTGCCCCTTTTCACTTTTGATAAGTGCCCCCTTCACCTCTGATAATTGCCCTATTCCAAACTGAGAGGTGCTCCTTTTACTTTGACAACTGCCCCTTTTTTCCTTTGTAAGAAGTGCCCTTTCTCCTTTTAATAACTACCCCTTTTATAAACTCGGAAGAGCACACCTTTCATTTTAACATGTGCCCCTTTTCCTTATGATAAGTGCCCCCATTAAAAAGAGAGAGCTACTTCCTCTTCTCATAACTACCCCTTTCCCTTTCTAATAAGTGCCCCTTTTCCTTATGATAAGTGCCCCCATTAAAAAGAAAGAGCTCCCTCTCCTCATAACTGCCCGTTTTAAAAATCTGAACGGTGCCCCCTTCTCATTCAACAAATGCACATTTTCCTTTATTATAAGTGCCCCTTTTACATTTTCATGAGTGCCCCTTTTCATATCTGGTCAGTGTCCCTTTTCACCTCTGATAATTCCCCTTTTTAATAATGATACGTGCCCCTTTTCCTTTCTAATAAGGGACCTATCCCCTTTTCACCTCTTATAAATGCCCCTATCAAAATCTGATGGGTGCCCCTTTTCCGTCAACAAATGCCTATTTCCCATTTTCGTAAACGCCTCTTTTTCATCACTGGTAAATGCCTCGTTTCAGGTGAAAAAATGCCTCATTTTCACCTCTTATAATTATCCTTTGTACTTTGACACGTGCTCCTTTTCTTATCCCTTTCGATAATTGCCCCCTTTTCATGTAATCATTAAACGTGCCCCTTATTTAAAGCGACTAAGAGCAATTTCCCCCAAAGTTCACTCGCTGTGCTCGCTCGCATTTAAAGATGATATAATTATGTTACTTTTCAGTCTTCCGTAATGAGAATGTGCTTATAACCTCATGACGATTGGCTTTTTCCTCTTTATAAGATGTAATTTGAACAGCTCGTTAATATGGAAAAATCGTTTCTCTTTGATTTACAAATCTTCAAATGAAAATAAAATGAGAAATTTCCAATTTAAGTTCATTCACAGGAAAATTGCGACTGAATATTTGCTATGTAAAATGGGGATTCATGAATCTCCTGATTGTAATTTCTGTGAAACCTATCCACAAACCTTATTACATCTCTTTTTAAAGTGTGAGATTGTGTGTAAATTCTGGAACGAAATATTTTCTTGGCTTAAAGATAAACAATTTCGACAAAACATGTTCTCTGAGGAAGAAATTTGCTTTGGGACTTTAATGATTAATAATTTTTATTTAGTAAACACAGTTATACTCCATGCTAAATATTTCATTTTCTCTTGTAAGATACAGAACACGATTCCCAAGTTTCAGCCTTTCCTAGTTTCTGTTAGACATTTAGAAAGAACAGAACGTATTATTGCTTTCAAAAAGAATCGTCTCGAATTCCATGAGAAAAAATGGCAAGTGTTTAGAGACTGAAAAAGTAGGTGTTCATTTTTTTTTTAATCTCTCCTGTACTGAATGTTTGTTTTCTATATTTGCATATTTTATGATTGATTTAATTTTGATGTTTCATGCATGTAATTATTTTCTTGACATGTAAAACTTGTGAATTGTGAAATAAAGATGGAAAAAAAAAAAGAAAAAAAAAAGATGTAATTCTTCGCACTGCGACCTCACAGATCTTTAAAAATTTTCTAGCTCGCTTCGCTCGCTCGTAAATGCATATTCAGACATCACACCCAACTTTGCAGTATGATGCTTAAGCGATATCTTGCATGATGTATGAAGAGAAAAAAATAATGAAATCATCCCTAATAATGTAATCACAATGTAGGGGTATATACCAATGTCTAAAAAATGGTATATTTTTGCTTTGAGATTTCCCATTGTAGGTGACCTTTTTTTTTCTTCCAGAAAGTGCCCTTTTTTGTTGGTGCCCCCCCCCCCCCACTTTTGAAGTCGCTCGGCCGCCCCTGGACGTAGGTTATTAGGGGGCACCTATACCCCGTAGAATCGAGTGGAGGGTTAGAAAAGACAAACAGATTATGGGGGGAGGGGGGAGAGAATAGTTGACGTCCGGACCTTTATTTTTCCCGCAACATCTCCAGGGCCTTGGTAACGATTTTTTCAGCGGGGGCGCTCAGGGTCCTGGGAACGATTTTTTCACCGGAGCCGCTGAGATATATATATTGCGAAATTTTCGCAA